GCTTGTAAGCAGGGTACAATCCAAGGCCTTGCACAGATCCTGACAGTCCTATATTTGGATTTGGCTGATGGTGCTCTAGTGGAGTCATTTAACTTGTTCTCTATGCCTATAATTTGGAAGCCAAATCTAGACGTTTCATCAGATTTAAGCTCAGCTTTTAAGGCAGAAACACTTTGCATTGGTGATGTGTCCTTTTTCTTACACCACGTTAGGAGACGTAACATCAGGTTTTCCAGTTTTAGTGATGCTCAGCCTATCCAGTGGATTCAGTTGCTTTCAGTACGGTATAATTCTCCATCAGCATTTCGTCTAATAATTTTAGACGAATCATCAATCATCAATGAATATTGATGATCATTGCTCTGATCCTTTATTTCATTTGTGGTTTTTTGTTTGTTTTGTTTTTTTTGCGGTATGTGGGCCTCTCACTGTTGTGGCCTCTCCCGATGCAGAGCACAGGCTCCGGACGCGCAGGCTCAGTGGCCACGGCTCACGGGCCCAGGCGCTCCGCGGCATGTGGGATCTTCCTGGACCAGGGTACGAACCCGTGTCCCCTGCATCAGCAGGCGTACTCTCAACCACTGCGCCACCAGGGAAGCCCCATTTGTGTTTTTTTTTAAGGGTAACATTTAAATGGTATCATTCTTCTTCCATTTACCCTCTGTGATTCTTCGGTAAGGGAGAACTTTCTATCATTGACTATTTGGTTGCCCTAAAATCAGTCCTTCCCTTTAAGCCTCTTCTCTGGGCCCCTTGTTTCAGGGAACCTCACACTTTGGAGTTCCTTCTTCCAACTTTTCTAAGTCTCTCTCTGGTACCTGGAACCAGCCAGGGTTAGCAGGGCCAACCAGGTGAGGTGCCCCAAACCCAGAATGGGACATGGTTTGGTCATAAACTTGGGTTCAGTAGTTTCAAGTTTTTGTTTTGTTTTGTTTAGGGATTACTTTTTTTCTTTTGTTTTAATTTTGTTTTTAAATATGTAAAATATTTACATGGTCCCCAAGTCAAAACTGTATACTAAGGCACATTCACAGAAGCCTCACTTTCTTCCATGTCATCCCCTCCACCCTGTTTCTTCCCTCCTGCTCTAAGTAATTATTTTTATTGTTTTTTTGTTTATCCTTTCATTATTTCCTTCAAAAAATGCAGTCATATACATTTATATATTCTTATTCTCATCTGCTATTTCTTACACCAAAGGCAGCATGCTTTATTATCCTTCAGCTTGATTTTTTTCTCTTAACAATATATCCTGGAGTTTACTTCATTTCAATATATAAGAATGTTTCTCACTCCTTTTTAGAGTTGCATAGCATTTCATTATGTGAACATATCATGGTTTACTCAATCAATTCCCTTATTGATGGACATGTGGGTTGTTTCTACTTTTTTACTCTTACAAATAATGCCACAACAGGGAATTTCCTGGCCGCCCAGTGGTTAGGACTCCAGCGCTTCCACTGCAGGGTGCATGGGTTCCCCTGGTTGGGGAACTAAGATCCCGCATGCCACGCAGAGTGGCCAAAAAAAACCCAAAAGTCACAACAAAGAGTTTTATATAAACATCATTTGCATTTTTGCTGGTGTAACTTTGGGCTAGATTCCCACAAGTGGGATTGCTGAGTTAAAGGGTAGATGCATATTTACGTTTGCTAGATTTAGCCAAATTCTCTTCCGTAGTGATTATATCATTTTGCATTTATCAATACATCAGCAGTGTATGAGAGTAACTGCTTCTCCAACAGAGTGTATCATCGAAGTTTTGGGCTTTTGACAATCTAGTTGTTAAGAAATGGCATATTGATTTATTTTTCTTTTTTTGTAAGCTATTCTGAAAAATGTTTTAAGTATAAAATATAATTAATATGAAACATAGTATTTCCTCCAAGTAACTTTAATTTGCATTTCTCTTGTTATAAGTAAGGTTAAGTATCTTTTCACATGTTTAAGACCATTGGCTTTTCTGTATCTGTGGACTGACTGTTCATGTCTGTTCCCTATTTTTCTAAGAATTGTTAGTCTCTTTCCTCTCAATTTTTAGGAGCTCTTTAAATATTAGAGTATTAACTCCTTGAAAATTCATTGCAAGATTGTGTTCAGTATGTCAGCTGTCTAAATTGCTTTGCAGTACTTTGTCAGGACTCGAAGCCACTCACTAACCAACCAGAATGTCGATTTATTAATTTACAACATGTAATATTCCCTTCCAGTAACATAAATATCCCATTTCTGCTGTGCTAGGTACCTTCCTCCTGGTATCAGAATCCCTGAGAAACCAAATGATTGACAAGGAGGTTATTAAATGGCTGTATCAAAAGCTACTTCAACTGTATAGACCTCTATGCTCTGCCTTCCCTTTTCTTACTAAGGATGAATGAACTGTGCTCTTACTGAAGGTCAACTCCACCACTTATGCTTTAGATCCCACCCCTTCACTTGCTCAAGGATATGGTTCCTGCAATTCTTTCTCTTGAATCAGGAATCTTCCCTTCACTATTGGATCCCTCCCCAGCAGCATTCAAACAAACAGTAGTGTCTCCCTTCTTTAAAACAAAACTTCTAGACCCCACAATGTTTTGGGCTCACACATCTCTATCCAGCTACCAGGCCATTTCTCTGCTCTCTTTTACAGTAAAAAAAAAAAACCCCAAAAAACTCAGAAGTTGTTTATTCCTGTTATGTCCACTTCCTCTCTTCCCATTTGCTACTGAACCCACTCTAGTCAGGCTTTTGTACCCTACAGTAACAGCTCTCATCAAGTCCACCAATGTCCTCCATGTTCTTAAATCTAGGCAGCCATTCTCAGCCCTCATTTTATCCATCTTCTCAGTGGCATTTGACACAATTGTTCACTCCCTCCTTCTTGAAACCCTTTCTTCATTTGGTTTTTGACACAAGAATCTCTCCTGCTTCTCATCCTATCTCACTGGCCTCTTCTCAGGCACCTTTGCTATTCTTTTTTTTTTTCAATTGTAGCTTTATTTACTGATCTACACACAGAACAACTTTAATTGGCCACACTGCGCGGCTTGTGGGATCTTAGTTCCCTGACCAGGGATTGAACCCATGCCCTCGGCAGTGAAAGCGGAGAGTTCTAACCACTGGACCACCAGGGAATTCCCACCTTTGCCGTTCTTCCTCAACTCAGTCCAGTTTGGTCTCTGTGGGATTTTATTAAGAACATCTCACCTGAGTGTTCTTTGGTCATATATCGTCTTTTGATTTACTTCTCCTGGGAAGCTAATCTCCGTCATGTGTGAGTTTATTAAATTAAATCTAAGGGCAGAAATTTTGTTACTTAATTTCCAAGTCTAATAATCACCTCCATTTAATGTAACTAAGAAATTCCCCCACAACTAATCCATCTAAGATTTTAGTCATAATGTATAGTCATGGCCTTAGTCTGACTAATCTAAGCTCTACTCTATATACCCTCAAATGCCGAAAGATAACACTGAAAGAACACCTGTTTAAGAAGCAAGTAGTCCTGATTTCTGGTTCTAGCACTTATTAGTTATGCCTCTGGTTAAGATACTTAATCTTTCTCAATCTCCATTTCCACATCTTGTAAATGTGGATCATAATTTCGACTGTGTCGTTGTGAAGGTTTAATAAGACAACAAATGAGAAAACCTTGGTGTCTTGGTGATTAGTATTAACACCCATCCAATTGCATTAGCCAGAATAGTTTCCATTTTTTCATTGTTGTGAGAACTGCATATATATATACATATATATATATGGTAAATATATACATATATGAACATTCTTATTTGGCTCTTATTTCAAAATGTCTAATATTAAAAAAAGAGATGGTAACATTCAGTTAGCTATTTGAAGTTGTGTTTCATAACTTTGCTCACAGATAAAGTACCCGTTGTGCCAATATGCCTTTCTAGTGAAGCAATGAAACCATCAAGATTAAGTGTACATTTTACAGAGAAATATTGATAAAGTTGGCAAAATATATAATATTTCTGATATTTAAAGGAAATGTTAGAAAACCATCATACTCTGATTGGAATTTTTTTCAATCTTTTAATTAAAAGGATAAAAGTCTTGTTCCTTACAGAATGGCACAATCACAAAATGGAAAGAGCCACATAATGTTGGAGAAGAATTTATATGAAAATAAATTATTGGTACAATAATGAAAGGAAATTCACATGAAATAATTTCTCCTATTCCATTAAGCAATGATACAGCTTTGAAATAAATCATTAAGATGTCAAAAATCACCTGTATGATGAATTATAGTTAATATGTAAGTATACAAACATAACCTATGTGACTATGAAGTTTTACTGCCTATATATAAAAAAAGAAATGTTATTTTAAAACTTATTGACAATAGACATATAGGGTTTGTCAAATAGTGAACCCTTAAAAATTATTTCATAGAAAAAGTATACTCTTTCCCAATGTTATTGAGTGCACAACAAATGAAATACTAAGCTACTTTGATCAGCAATCAAAATTTAGGAGCTAACCTAAAATGTAACACCAGGGACTTCCCTGGTGGCGCAGTGGTTAAGAATCCACCTGCCAATGCAGGGGACCAGGGGTTTGATCCCTGGTCCAGGAAGATTCCACATGCCACAGAGCAACTAAACCCGTGCACCACAGCTACTGAGCCTGTGCTCTAGAGCCTGTGAACCACAACTACTGAGCCCGCACTGTTTATCAACAAAGCTTATTAGCCAAAAATCCTAGTGAGAGATTCCATAAATCAATGAATGTGGTGATCAATGCTGACTTTTAAAAATTAAGAGTAAACTCATAGGTAGGGAAAGATTTCTTGAACAGATGCAAAAGGCACTCACTATAAAGGAAAAAAATTGATAAATTGGATCTAATTATAATTAAGAGCTTCATCAAAGACACTACTAAAAGAGCAAAAAGGCAAGCCACAGACTGGGAGAAAATGTTACCAAACACAAGTTCACAAGTTGGTGTGCCCAACGCACAGTGAGGCCAGACAAACAAAAACATTGGAGTTTGGAGCAGAGAAAGGTTTATTGCAGGGCCATGCAAGGAGAATGGGTGGCTCGTGCTCCAAAACCCCGAACTCCCCTGGTCTGGGGGGAAAAGCTTATACAGGGAAAATTGGGGGTGAGGGCTGCAGGGTGTGAGACTTCCTTCTGATTGGTTGGTGGTGAGGTAACAGGGCGGTGCTCCAATAATCTTGCAGCTCAGCCTGAAGTTATCATCCTCTACCTGGGTGGGGACCTTAGTTCCTGCAGAACTCAAGGGTATTGTTACACGTATATCCCTTGAGGAGGAAACATGATCCTGCACTATAGTTTTTTGATTGTTCCTCCTTTGTTTCTGCATCCCCTTACTTCCCTGATCAGCAACTGTTTGAATCTGCTCTTTGGTATTCACTAAGGTCCGTCTAGGAGACAGAAGCCTTTTTCCTGCAAATATAAAAACAGAGGACACAGAAAGACTTTTGTGCCCAGGAGGGCCCCACAGGGTCCTGGTCGGTTTCAAAGATGTTCATAAAATTTTATATCTGACAGAAGACTTTTATCCAGAATACATTAAAAAAAACTCCTACAAATCAATATGAATAAACAACAGTTCAGTTTTTCTAAAAAGGCAAAGACTTGAACAGGCACTTCATGATAAAGATAGCCTGCTTTATCATCCACAGAAGGGAAGGAGATGAAGGTACACTTCTTCCAGGTTGAAAGTTTTTGGTAAATCACATTTTTTACTCCCTGGCCCCTTATTTATAGAGCACTTACTATTGGCTTCTTTCTCTTCCTTTTTAATATTAAAAAATTGTTCTGCTTTATCCTCTATTATTCTTATTTTTCTGTACCTCTATCAAATTCCTTTATCTTACCCCATCTTCTTTTTCTTTCCTAATGCTAGATCTCTGTATTTTCCATCTCAACCTGGCTTAAGTGTCTTAACAATTGAAAGTACTAAATATCCTTTTCTTTGGGCCATCTAGAGACACCCGATGAAGGACACTGCTGGAAAATGTTCTACGCTGCTGCTGACAGCAAAGCTGCAACATGACTAATGTCAATCTGTTGTAAGTAAAAGTGTCTCAATGCTATTTGCCTTATTTTTGGTTGTTGAATATCGGTAATATACCTTATAATTCAGCAAACCCAGATTAAATGAGTGCAACTAATGCCAAGTAAATTTATTTTATTTCATTTCATTTTATTGGCTGTGCCACGCGGGATGCAGGATCTTCCCTGACCAGAGATCAAACCCTACATTGGGAGCGAGGAGTCTTAACCACTGGACTGCCAGGGAAGTCCCTGCCTGGTAAATTGAAATATCAAATATCAACTTCTGAAGTAAGGGAGAGAAGGAGACAAAAAGAAAATTGGGTATTTATTCTTAAATATAGCACCCTAGGGAGGCAGTTTGCATAGTGGCTAATAACACAGACTCTAGAGCCAGACTTGCCTGGGTTTGAGTCCAACTTCCCTTATTGCCTATGTGACTTTGGGTACATTTCTTATCTTTTCTTTGCCTCAGCTTCTGCATCTGTAAAGTGGAAGACAGCTTGACCTCATGGGGTTGCTACAAGGATTAAATTCGTTTATAAAAAGTACTTAGAACAGTGACTGGCAACAGTAAGCACCACATAAATGTCAGTTACTATTACTCAAAATTATAATAATGAATAGATCAAGGCTCTAGTAACATTGTTAGTTTTTAGGGGTCTGAGTCTTTGTAATGTCTCTGATTTTTAAAAGATCACAAATGTGGCTTGGATTACTCCAAGAAAAAAAGTTTGGCTTAATACACTGATAAATGAGTTTTTAAGAAAGAAACCATTTTGTATGACCCAGTACAGGGAGTAGAGTTGACTAACAGGAGATGTCTGCCTGGCATAAAAATCATTAAAGAAAATCCTGAGCACGATGTTAAAGTCAACTCGGAAGCACATGCTTTACATTATTGTCCTATCAGTTCTTGAGTTCCTGGCAAGTGTCGCTGAAGCAGATAGACTTTTTTTTCAAGTAGTCATTCTCTGTTATTGCTTTTGACATAGATAAACGACCTTCTAACTAACTATTAGGAAACTTTTTGTAGGGTGTATTTGTGATGGTTATTTAAAGTGATAGCTGTGAAAGACTGTCAAAATAGCTCTAACATCGTGCTGTTCAAAAAGAAAGGCTAATTTCTTTGAAAATAATAATGAAAGGATAATAGAATCTCAGATATAAGAAGGAATAAGGTCTGCGAGCTCATGGATGGCATTCATCTGCCAAGACAGGGAAGTCTGTCTCAGGAGTTATAACCAGTTTTGCTTGCTTCATACTGCTGAGTACACTTGAGTTGCTATAATGGGGGCAAAGTTCACTGGGCAGTGCCCCAGCAAATTACTTTTCTAGACAGGAAAGACTAGGGCAATTTTGTCTCTACAGTAATGGCCAATTCACAGCCATCTAAGACTCTGGCTTTTTTATTTCTTTTTTTTTTTTTTTTTTTTTGCGGTACACGGGCCTCTCACTGTTGTGGCCTCTCCCGTTGTGGAGCACAGGCTCCGGACGTGCAGGCTCAGCGGCCATGGCTCACAGGCCCAGCCGCTCCGTGGCATGTGGGATCCTCCCGGACTGGGGCACGAACCCGTGTCCCCTGAATCGGCAGGCGGACTCTCAACCACTGCGCCACCAGGGAAGCCCAAGACTCTGGCTTTTCATTGAAGATGTGACTAACTTGAATGGCCTGAATGTTTATTATATATTTAATACATGTACTAACTACTTTTAATAATATTTCTGAATATTTTACCTTATAACAACTGATTTTATTTTATTGTCTAAACACATGAGTTATGGAAGTTTATGGCCAGTTTAGAGATTAATGAAACATACAAAAATAAAGCACACATCTGCATTTTGAACTGAGAGCACATTTAAGAGGATTGTAGCATAAACTGCAAGAGTTAGAACTTCAGAGTTTGAGGCAGCATGATCTGGTGGAGCAAATACAGGCTTAGGAGTCAGACTGATGGGTTTTGAATCCTACCTTGTTTATTTCCTAGTCATCTGAGGCTACACAAATTATTTAATCCCTCCAAGCCTATTTCTTCATCTGTAAGTAGAGACAATATTCACTCTCAAACCTTTCAAGAATTCAATTAGATACGGATGTGAGAGTGCCTACCTCACACACAGGCAGAAAATTTTTGTTTCTGCAGCATTCTATTCAACTCTCCACTCCTTCTCAATGGAAAAAACTAGAACGTTAACACTTCTCAGAATATTGGTCAAGGTTTTCAGTAAAATAAAATTTCATGTGTAAAGTGATTACCAAGAAAGTACTTTATAGGCAGTGAGGGGTTCAGTAATCATCTTGGTTACCAATCCTATGATAACTAAATCTCAAAGTACAAAACTTGGAGGTTTTCATAAGTATTGTAATGAAAACACCACTTGTATAAACATCAGAGACCCAGGGCCCAGAAAAAATTCTCCTATTCTGAGAAGAAAAATTCTCCATAAAGGATATTTGTACTCAGGTCACTAAAAAGTTGTGTAGAGGAACCCATTACATACTAAGGGGGCATTTCGCATCCAGTTTCACAAGACTTGAACCCTGGGGAAGACTTCAGGATGGAAACCTTATTTGGGAACAGAGGTTTGAGCCAGGTTAATTCTAGAGGTTGTCCCAGACCATCTCCAGACGCCAAATGATATCATAAGATGCAAAAATGGATCAGGGGCGGATGATCTAAGTAAGCACGGAGATGACAGGCGCTCGCCACGGGAGGATCCTACGTGGACGCAAGAAAGAACACGCGGTAGGAACTGAGTACTTTCCTTGGAGGCCCCGCAGCCTTCCCACTGCCTCCGAGTTCCCATCACACTCATGAGAATCCGAATCCTCTGTCCACGAACAGGGTGAGCCTATTAGACGCCGGTCAAGAATCGCCCTCCCGCCCCGCCCCGCCCCAGAGGTCCCCTCCCGGGGTGGCTTCCTGGGCTCCCGCGGCCGCGCGGCACCAAAGGTCACGGAACGCCCATCTCTGCACCTAAAATGCAGCACGACCGACAATTTAGAGCGCCGGGTGCATATCCACGGTGCAGTCACTAACAGCCATTACTTCCGGGCCCTGTGCGTCTGTTTAGGACTTGAGAAAACTCTTCAGAAACCCGCCACGGTACGGGGGGCGTGATGGGGGTGTGTGGCGGAGGCTCTCCCAGGAGGCAAATTTCTCTCACTCCTGGGCGCGCGGGGGAAACCGTGGGGCTCTTCTAAATCAGCTCCCACTCCCCCAGCCAGATTTGCCTCTGTCAACTCATCCCTAAAGATAACGTCGAAGTGGGGGAAATACAGCACCCGAAGACCCCTGAGCTTCTGTAGAGACCAGACAAGCTCGCGCGGCCGTCAATATCAGCACACAGACTGGGCGGCCCGAAAGGAAAAGTCTCCCGCGCGCAGGCGCACGCCGTCCCCCGCCCGTCCGGCACGCGCTCCGCCTCGCCTCGCCACTAGCCCCGCCCCCCGGCTCGGCCCCGCCCCTCCAGCCGGTCCTCCGTATCTTCCGCCCTAGGTGGCTTCGCCTCAGCCTGCGCTACGCCCTCCCGGCCTGCGGCGTCGCGGTACCGGCCTCCGCGCTCCACCCAGACGCCCTCCGGCGCTCGGGAGGGGGCGGGAGGCGGAGCAGTGGGGTGGGGGGGGGGGGTGTTGCCGCGGTCTAGGCGCGGTAGGCGGTGGCGGCGGCGTCGGAGGTCCCTGAGATATGGCCGCCTCGGTGTTCTGCTGCCTGCGGTGCTGCAGAGATGGCGGGACGGGCCACATCCCTCTGAAGGAGATGCCGGCCGTGCAGCTGGACACGCAGCACATGGGTAAGGGCTCTCCCTTCCCCAGACCCAACGGCCCACCCCGAGTCGGGCGCGGCTGGTCGGGGTCAGCCTGGAGTTATGAGGACCGCACGCTGCCGGGCCCCGCCGGGCTCCGCGCCCTGTCCCTCACCCTGTGACGCTGCCCTGGACCCGGTTTGGCCTCGCGGGTCTCCTCCAGACTCCGGCCGACCCCACCTCGGCCCGGCTCTGCGTTCAGAGCTGCGCAGCCCTGTGAGCTCCTGTCTTGGGAAGATGGGTGTGTGGACCTACCCGTTTCCACAGCAGTGTCCTCCCGGCTGCCGCCTCCTGGGACTCGTGTAAGAAGTCACCTTCGAGGGGAGTGGGGAGGACTCTGTTCTCCTCCTACAGTGCTCCACTGCCTAGCTCCAGTCCAGTCCCACACATTTTCGGAAAGCTTCAGCTGTCCTCGGCTCCTTCCTCTGACCTGACAGCTTTCTCTTAGCCCATCATTTATCGGTTGTTTTATTGGAAATGATTTTCCTCTCACCTCCTAAAGTCAAAACAAGGCAAGTTGCAGAAGCCTGAAGCCACCGCTCAGGTCAGAACCTGTCATCTCAACGAAAACCTCCCACTGTCCGACCCCTGTTAGTCACGCTTAGAGGTGTTGTAATTTCTTCTGACCGGCCTCTTCCCAGCAGGTCAGGCTATTGCAGAAATAAAACAGCGCTTTGCTTCTTCGCATCTATGTTTTTTCCTTCTACTGTCAAATGAGCTTACAGCTTCTCTCCTAACGTTCTTCTCCTCCCCTCTGTAGCCTCTTTTACCACCTTATTATTTCTGTTCTTAGACTTGTCCCATGTAGTTCCATGCTTCTGGAATATGGTTCTAGAAGGAGAGATTTCCCACTATAATTACTTCAGAGTACTGTTTTTTTTGCGGATTATTCTCTTCAAAGTATACATCTGCACTTTCAGTTTTCCCTACATCTCTCTTTGGCTAAAGGACAGTGCATTGAAATAACAAAGGGAATTCTTAATATTTATAGCAAAACCCTCTCCCGCCCAGATTCTTTATAATTCTGGAAATACTCTGCTCATTATATGTCTGTAGCATGTACAAAATCACAGATGTGATCATTGTTTACCACTTTGTATGTGGGTATTTTAATTCTTAGATATCCCAAGTATAATATAGACCCCTGATACATAAATATATATGTATGTATATCTCTTTATTTCTTATTCATCATCATTTATAGACAGATGTTCAAATTCTATAATTTCCCTCAGAAAATGTTTCCATTTCATTTATTCGTTCACCCAACTGATATTTATTGGCTGATGTTATACGGTAGGCATTGTTTTAGATGCTAGGAACACAGTAAAGGAAAACCACGTGTAGATCCTGGAGCAGATGGTCAGCTTTAGCTCTTTCTATCTCTACTGCCAAACTCCTGAATTACTACAGTCTGCTCTTTAAAGTATTCCTTTTCTCTAGTCTCTTCTTCCACGAAGAACCGGTCACTTGTACTCATTCCACTATGTTCTCCTTTTTCCAGAGCTGCCCAGCATCTTTCAGTAGAGTAATGTCATCCCCCATTACCATCTGCGTGGAAACTTTTCTTAACCTGTCTTCCAGTAAATTCAAATTCTTCAATCACAGAAGAAGCATGATTTTAGAAAGCAAATAATATAAGAGGAGAGGCTCATCAAGTTAGGAACAGGTTTCAAGCATCAGTTGATCTTAAGTTGAAATATGAGAAGCACACTGAGTGAGTATGCATGTATTTGGATATGTGAAAGGCTGTATTAGGTCACCTAAAGAATGTGATTGCCGTTTTTTTGTTAAGAAAATAGTCTATACATGTCATATGCAAATGAATGTTGTCTCTTTCAAAGTTGTCACTTATTTTGGTGATGCTGCATCACTTAAAACGATTTGGAATTCCTCTTGGGATTTTCTGTGGAGTAGTTTTTATAAATATCTTCATTTTTGCCACAACCTCCATATTTAATTGTGAATTGACTTTTTAGAAATGAATGTCTTCCAAGGTAGCTACTTTGAAAGGGATGCCATTCATTTGGACATGTCTAATGTTTTTTAAAAAATACACTTTGGCTATGTTTATATGTGTTCTGGCTATACTCAACTTTGCCTTGGCTTTCTAAGCAATCTTGATAATTAATGAAACTGTACAAATCACATAGATCCAAATGTAGGATATCTTTGTACTTAAAAAAGAGAAATGGAATAAGCTTAAGATAATTCGCCAGTGATTCACAAACACTCTAAAATGTTCTGTGAATACATCCATCTTTCTGTATAAAACATCTCAGTACCTAGCAGAATGCCTTGGAGATAAGAAATGAGATTGAAGTAAGAGAATAATAGCATATTCAGAGTTGGTTCTGTGGTTCCAACTCAGAGATATGTATGAGAACCAAAAAGTATTGCTGGGTATGAAAAAAAAAAACCATTTATTTGCATAGTTCTTTGAAATGTTTTTCACTTAGGATGCTTTCAGTTACAAGCTGTAAAACCTGCAACTCAAAACAGTTGAAACAATGAAGGAAATTTATTGGTTCATGTAAATTTAAAAAGTACAAAAGCAGCACTATCTTCAGGAAGACTCAGTGCTGCTAAGGACTGAGCTTCTTTTTATCTCTTTCCTCTGTCTTCTGCTGCTTATTCCTGAAGGCTGGCATCCATGATAACTTGCAGCCTCTCCCTGGGCTGTAGGCTTCCTCATTCAGATCCAGCAAGAATGAGAGAATCTTTATCCCTTCATTCTCTCTGCAAAAGTCCTGAGACTATCTCTGATGGTAGTGGCTTAGGTCATATAACCGTTTTTCACTCAGTCAGTGTGGCCAGGAAATGTGGAATGCACTGATTAACTTAACCTAGGTCAAAGCTGTACCCCTGAAACCAGAGATTGAGTCAGCTTCCTTGGAACTGTTTTGATCTCCAGAGCAAAGTCTGTTGGGAAAGGGAAAACAGATACTACATGTCCACTTCACAGCACTTAGCAGAGCATATTCATTCAATTCTGTATCAGTTATTTGTCGAGCGTCTGCTGGATGCCAAGCACTCCATGGTCTTTGCCATCAAGGAGGAGCTGGGCCCTGGATGTTCTCCAGTTGAAACTGCTGAGGTATATGGGGCAGCCAGATGTAAACTATGTATAAAGACACTTTCCCAGAATTTGCGGTTTAACATTTGTAATTAGAAAAAAAAAAGGATGCTAATAAGTTTTTAATAATCATATAATAGGATCTTAGTTTTACTTTAAATAAGAGAGTGTCTTTCTTAAATCAACCAGTTTAGAATTGTGATAAAATCTGAAAATTTGGGATTTCTCTTATGTATTTGTCCCAAATAATTTTTTAAGTATGAATTCAACAGTGAGTTAATGAGAGACCTGCCTCCCTGTTAATACCTTTTGTTACTATGTTCTAGTTTTATTTAACCCCCTCTGGAGGAGTTCCCTACAGTTCTCACAGCCAGATCTGCTTGGCTTGTACACTTACTACCAGAAAAGTCATACTGGTTACGGATCTTGGGAATCACATGCCTCGATGTTACGGGATATTTCTTATGTATTAGAATTTTGTTAACTTTCTTCATGTTCTCTGATAAGCTTTCCTAAATCAATATTTGGAAAAAAATTGGTATTGGAGTCACATTATCAAGAGACTTTTTCTCACTCTCATCTATCAAATGTTACTTGAACTAAAATTTTCCATGAAAATACAATGCATTTAATGATGTTAAAATCTTGTTTACATATTTGCAATATGATTGACAGCAGCTATCTTACAAACATTTTTAAAATCCTAAAATTAGCATTTTTCCATGACAGCAATTTTTTTTTTTAATTTATTTTTGGCTGCGTTGGGTCTTCATTGCTGGGCCCGGGCTTTCTTTAGTTGTGGTGAACGGGGGCTACTCTTCGTTGTGGTGCGCGGGCTTCTCATTGCAGTGGCTTCTCTTGTTGTGGAGCACGGGCTCTAGGCACGCAGGCTCAGTAGCTGTGGCTCGCGGATTCTAGAGCGCAGGCTCAGTAGTTGTGGCTTATGGCCTTAGCCGCTCCTCAGCATGTGGGATCTTCCCGGACCAGGGATCGAACCCGTGTCCCCTGCATTGCCAGGCAGATTCTCAACCACTGCGCCACCAGGGAAGCCCCGTGTCAGCTATTTCAAGAACACAGATGTATGTTCCTTTCCGTGTTCCATTCATCTTCAATTCTTACTTGACCAAAGCACTAGCAAAGGACCTTGTACCTAGTAGACATTCAGTCAGTTTTTAGCAGATTGATTTGTTTAGATTGAACTGAAAATGGTACTAATTTGCCAGTTTCTTTTAAGTGTTTATGTTTTTATTTAAATCAAGATATTTATGAAATCATCAAATTGAGTCATTGGCTAAAATTTAAGAAAGTCTGCTTCTGGGAGTTCCCTGGTGGCCTAGTGGTTAGGATTCTGGGCTTTCACTGCCGTGGTCCGGGGTTGGGGGAACTGAGATCCCACAAGCCACGTGGCGCAGCCAAAAAAAAAAAGTCTACTTCTACCTTAAAAGTGTTTCAAATATTCAGTATAATTCAGAATTACTATTTATTTGAAACTGCCTAATTAAACAAGATTTCTAGCCACAAATTAATATTAATGTTCTCCCAGGAAAAAAGTAAATTAAATATTTTAAATAATTTATCAGTATTTTTATATTTCAAAGTATATATAGTCTCCCTATTTTTTGGAGACCAAGAGTTAAAAGTGAAACAAATTAACCTTGATTGTTGGTTAAGAGAATATAAAACTTTACACAGTGTCTATATTCTTTTGTTTAGGAACGGATGTTGTCATTGTAAAAAATGGAAGAAGAATATGTGGAACAGGAGGTTGTTTAGCCAGTGCACCTTTACATCAAAACAAAAGCTACTTTGAATTCAAAATCCAGTCCACAGGTTGGTATAATGGTACTTGACTATTAAAAGTCCTAATTATTCTAAATATGAGGAGTAATTTTCAATATATGAAAAAGATTAATGAGGTAATTAAAAAAACACCAAATGCTTACTTAGAAGACCATTTTCTTCCACATCTTATTGTGTGATCCTGGTTTAATTAGTCAATTTCGTTATATTAGGTTCAGTTTTCTCATCTATAAAAAGGATTACAGGAGCTGCCCTTCCTGCCTCACATGAGCTATATATATGAAAGTGTTTAAAAGACACGACATACTGGTTCAGTTTAAGGCACAAGCATTATTATTAATATGGTTAATTATTAGTGGCAGCTAGATGAACCATTTCATTTGGTCAAGCATATAAGGTGTAGACTCTTGCTGTTTTATCTTAGGATACAATTAAGCTTATGATCCTGAGGTTTTCTCTTAACTCTTGTTAAGATTCCCTGATTCAGTGTCTTCTGAAGCAATTGGCAGATTTAGAATTCTGATAGAAGTCTAAAGTCTCTTTAAAAATTTATGAATCTGTACACCTGAAACTAACACAATATTGTAAATCAACTATACTTCAATTAAAAATAAAAAAAATTTTTTTTTAATTCTGAAGTTTCTTGAGTTGTATAGCAATTCTACATGAGTATTATGATAGTTATTAATTAGTTAACTTGTGGCAGTGTTGAATATGGGGAAATTTTTTTAAGGCTTTATTATAAAGAAATGTCTAGTGAAACATGGCATGAGTAACATACGTACAGAATTGGAAATCTAGAGTGGAGTAAATTAATTCTGCTCTTACTCTTACTTGAATGACATAAAATATTCCTCTGGGGCTTGTTTTTTAAATTCATTTTAAATACTGATTTTTCTTAAGTGTGTGAAATAAATTTGAATCTGTCCTCCATTCCATTCTTTTGTAAGTTAACTCACTGGCTGCATAATGTCTCTGGTTACTGTAATCTTCTCAAGTATAACACATCTTTTCTCAAGAGCAGCAGATAGTTCCTTGAGCCTGAAATGTAATACAAAATTTTATGTGGATTTTCTATAAAGGGTGCTATCCTCAATAATATCTCTAGAATAAGTGCATTATTGGAGTTTGTAGCATTGTTCCCGCAATGAAAGCTTCAGGCAGTTGTGCCCAAGTGTATCACAGTGTGCACAGTTCTTTAGGAGTAAGGGGACTCTGTAACCCTGTCTAGAACTGTTGTCCCATGAAATTAGTATTATCACCTGCTGTCACTCTTGTCCCACCTTGGAGGATAAATTATATAATCAAATTATTTAGGAGGCCAAGACAGTGAAGTCCAGACATGCAGCTTTCTGATGGTCTCACTCAATCCAGGAAAACTGATTGATTGACAACATGGTCTTCAAACATTCTTTGATCTATAGAATTTCTCCTAACTGATTTTGATAAAAACTGAGAAGGAAACCCTTTGAGATGTAACCGGGAGTTGTAGGTATTCTGTTAGATTAAGAAGAGAGCTGCTTGCTTTAAAAGTCAATTTAGACCAAAAGGTTTTAAACTCATGAACTTAAGGTATTGGATAAGAAAATGATTTTACACTTTATCATTATTTTTCTCCTCTCCATGATACTTACCAGGTCATATATTATTTGTCACATATTATAGATGCAAAAAGTAAAGACAGTAAATTCCTGCTTCTCAGAGGTGGTGCTTGAAATAGAACCCCACGCCATTTAAATTCATTGTGTAGCTTTTTAATAATATTTTTAGAGAATAATAATAATGACAATAGCTAGTATCTTTTAAAAATACTTCCTCTGTGCTTTACTTACCCATTTTTTTTTTAATACTTACACTGTTGCAAGTGCTTCACTTGGATGATCTTGCTGTATCTTCTGATAACTTTAAGAGGATAGTACTGTTAGAATCCATAGTTCACAGGTGAGGAAGCAGGGGGAGGTTAAGTAACTTGCCCAAGATGACATAGCAAAGTCAGAATTTAAACCTAGGTAGTACAACTCCAGGGCCCACTCGCTTATCTCCCAGGCTGTACTACATCTGCAAGAGAACATGGTATAGTTTGCAAACTACTTTTAAAAGAATTTTTTTAAAGATTAACAAAAAAATAGTTTAGTGATAATACGCCACTTTCTTTAAAAACAACTCCTTTCATATTTGTATACTGCAGATTTGGGGAGCATTTAAATTATTATATTTTTAGGAATCTGGGGTATTGGTGTTGCAACTCAGAAAGTTAACTTGAATCAGATCCCTCTTGGCCGAGATGTGCATAGTCTGGTGATGAGAAATGATGGAGCCCTATATCACAACAACGAAGAGAAAAATAGGCTGCCAGCAAACAGCCTTCCACAGGAGGGAGATGTGGTGGTGAGTTTTCTTGTGGAGTTGTTTTCCACTGTAAATTATTAAACTTGAACTGCTTTTAGTATTTCTACTTTTGCCTCTGAGTTTGTGGTTTGAATTCCAAAGCACCAGAATTGGATCTAATGAGGTAGTACATTTTCCAAAGAGAGCACTTGATGTAGATGCTGCTGCCTTACCTAACTGCCTTCTCCTTTCTAGAGCTGCCACTGGCCAGGAAAATAAGCGTGAACCCTTATTTCCATTTAAGGGAGAGTTGATGACAGGTTGGCTGCTGATCATTTCCTGCTTCTCTCACATAAAAGAAATCTTGGCCCACAATTTTAAAAGTTTGCTAACCCTTATATTGGAAAATATTAGGTATTTTTGCAGCTGGAGATCTCTTAGAGAAAAATTTGACATTTATTGCTTAATTTGTTATGAACTTCTGTTAAAGAAGTACAGCATTTTATCAGGAGCATTGGTCCTTGTTAAACATAACCTTACTAAACTTCCTTCACTTTCAGAACTCTTCAAAAAACGGACTCAATATTCTAAGGCTTGCTTGTAGAAAACTTTTTTTGGAAAGCAGGGAATAGAAGGAGTTACATATTATTGACTTCTCTGTTTTTATTCCCAAGTAGATATATTTAAGTCTCTACCAAAGCCACCCTATTGAAAATGTAATCCAGAGATCCCTTTCTGCCTTTTTCCAGATACTTCCTCTCAAACAGTGTTGTCCAAGAACCTTATACACTGAGTTCAGGCCATTAGCTATTGACTGAGAACAGAGTTCTTGGGTCTCCTTACGCAGAGCCTTCGGTTCCTGGCTCTCATACCAAGTTGAAAGGAATCTGTAAATAATTAGAGAGAGTTTCTAATAATAAGATAAAACAGACAAGGTAAATCCAGGTTATTGAATTAAAGAAGTATACAATATTTTGAAGAGAGTGAAGGAAGATGTGGAAATGATTTTTAATTATGGTCTGATCTTTTATGCAATTTAAAAAATGTGGGGCTTCCCTGGTGGCACAGTGGTTGAGAGTCCGCCTGCCGATGCAGGGGACACGGGTTCGTACCCTGGTCAGGGAAGTTCCCACATGCCGCGGAGCGGCTGGGCCCATGAGCCATGGCTGCTGAGCCTGCGTGTCTGGAGCCTGTGCTCCGCATCGAGAGAGGCCACAACAGTGAGAGGCCTGTGTACCGAAAAAAAAAAAAAAAAAAGTGAAGAAGAGTCTTCAAATAGGTAAATTATTGAAAGTATGTTTTTCCTAAATTAACTAAAGGAAACTAAAGGCATAAACCATTTTTAAAATCTGCTTTTCCTTTCGAATAGTTGGTTCTGTGTTTGTAGGTCATTGCCAGATACCCATAATGTAGAACACCCTTATTCAAATGGTTATTTCGTGGAAGAGAATCTTGAAGTCAGGTTGGTGCCGTCAACCTGTTTATACTAAAAAATGAAATTCAAACATAAGATAGGTTAATCAGTAACAAATGTTTTTCTTTGTTGATGTACTGAACTTCTACTGTATGTTATTCTTGCCTTCCTGTCTCATTCCCTGAGGTGACTGATACCTCAAATTGACAGATTTAAGAATGTCATTTTTAGTCTGTCAGCATTATTAAATTAGACTTTGAGGGACTTCCCTGATGGCGCAGTGGTTAAGAATCCTCCTGCCAATGCAGGGGACACAGGTTCGATCCCTGGTCCAGGAAGATCTGGCATGCTGCAGAGCAACCGAGCCCGTGCACCACAACTACTGAGCCTGCTCTCTAGAGCTCGCGAGCCACAACTGCTGAGCTCACGTGCTGCAGCTACTGAAGCCTGTGCGCCTGGAGCCCGTGCTCCACAACAAGAGAAGCCACTGCAGTGAGAAGCCCACACACTGCAACAAAGAGTAGCCCCCGCTCGCCACAACTAGAGAAAGCCCACACAGAACAATGAAGACCCAATGCAGCCAAAAATTAAAATAAATAAATAAATCAGACTTTGAGTTTTTATGCCCATTCTGATAAAAGGAGGACTCAAAAAGATGAAATATAAGCAGAATCCTGAAAAGTAAAACATTATCCTACTCTATTAACTTTATCTTCCTAGTTTAAACATTTGAGAACAAATTTCACTAAATTAACTGACAATAGCATAGGAAAAGAGGAATGAATTATAAGACAGGAAAAACATTCTAATGTGTAGAATTTCAGTCATATACCATTCTCTCAGGAGGATCAAGAAAAACAAGCTTTCAACATCTAACCAAATGATTGTATTTATACAGTAATCATATAGTACCAACAGGGCCTACTACAGCACCAGGGAGGCATTCCTGAAACAGCTTATGCTTATTTTTTCCTTTTATATATAGTTTAGAAAAGTGCAGATTACATTTTAAAATTGCTGTTTTCAGTTTAATTTCAGAGAAGTTTCATAAACATTCTGTGTAACAATAATAATAATAGCAAACACTTCTCTAGCATCTGTTATGGGCCAGAATGGCTTTAAGTGCCTGGCAGGGATTAAATTGTTTAATCCTCTTAATGACCCTGTGAAATAGGTGGTACTATTATTACCATTTTACAGATTAGAAGTTAAGTAATAACTTCTTATTTGGAGTGATCTCAGGCAGTCTAATTTAAGAGTCGCTTCACCAAACCTGCAAATAATTATTGATAAATCCTTAGAACACATCACATTTCTCGGTATCATTATGAGAGAATCAAACCTAGTTTCTAGAGCATATAAAAGGACAGATTAAGGGAATTCCCTGGCGGTCCAGTGGTTAGGACTCAGCACTTGCACTGCAGGGGCCATGGGTTCGATCCCTGGTCGGGGAACTAAAATCCCTCATGCACGTGGCACAGCCAAAAAAAAAAAAAAAAAAAAGGACAGATTAAGTTAGAAAATACTTGAACTTAAACTCTGCTGCTGGAGGACAGGGGTTCTCACATCCTTCCTCGCTTCTCTCTTGGGTGCTGGGTATTGGTGCTGGAGGGCGGGGTTGAAAATTTGCTTGCTTGCAGTAGGTGATGCTGCCAGCAGGTGGGGAAGGGTGCCCAGACTACAGCCTGCTGATCTGAACTGCTAGATTCCCAGTAATCCTGTAAAGGGAGTAACACACTGCTTTTTATGGAATCATGTTATTTATTTACTTTTGTAATCATGTTTTCTAAATGAGAACAGACTTCATTAAAAAAGCTAATCCTAGCCATCACTTAGCTTTATTATTTAAGTACGTAAACTGAAGTGAAACAAAAGCAGCATTTATCTTTCTGTGTTTAGTCTAACCCTGGCCTTGCTAAGATTTGAGAATCTTTTATAGCACTTAACACATTGACTCATCTGGGCCTTTGCTATCTTGACTGGAAAGTGAGGGAGTTAAGACTAGATCATCTGTAAGATGTTTTTCTACCTTTAAAAGCTTGTAGGTTCATATAATTTATCCACAGTCAGAAATCCTTGAAGTGGTTGCTTCTTGGTCTGTGATGGTTTCTATTGAAAGGTCTCCACTGCCTATTCTTAATTCTTCAAAGTAAAGCTCTCTTTTTGTCATCAATTAGTAAATATTGTACAAAGTCTTAAAGAGAGTTTTAAAAGTATAAAAGTTCTTAAAAGTTTTGAAGTTTTGAATTGCGTGGCAATTAAGAATAAGTTTTCCGAAGCCATACTGCATGAGGTTAAATCCCAGCTCTGCCACTTCCTAACTGTGCAAACTCAGGTAAATTAGTTGACCTCTCTGTGCTTTAGCTACCTCATCTGTAAAATGGGGATAATAAAAATACCTATCTTACGAGGATTAAATGAGTAAATATGAAGTGCCTAGAATAGTGTTTGGTACATAATACAGATTATTTGTTTTCCAGCATTTTAATAATAGTTATTAATTGTGATTTGTGTACCATTAATAATGTACAAAGTAATATATTTTTATTCTATTGTCTTTTTAAAGTCTTTTGAGCTGTTGTTTTTCTATTTTTCAACTTGATACTAATTACCAATTATATGCAGTTGTAAATACCCACTTTACCTTGGTAATACACTTGACATATTTGAAGCCAAGGTAAAGAGATACAGAAATGTATCATTTCTTTTTGGAAATAAGTTGTATAAAGACAATTCATCACAATTGAAAGCAGTGACAGATAATAATCCCTAATGGTGAAAATTTCACTGTTTTCCCCCCTTGAGATCAAATTCTGTATATAAAGAGCAGTGTTTTCTATATGAGTTTAAAAGGTCTCTTTGTTTACAGTATATAGTACTTATATCATCTTAATATTCAAAATATAAAATCCAGATTATCTGAATATAATACTAAGATTTAGTTTTACCTTTAATGTGGACTCTTGGGATTTTACCTTTTTCCCCCCACATAATCACCACTAATTTTTTTTAGCTCAGTTCAAGTGAATTCTACCTAATTGTAAACCTTAATACAAGCTGTTGTGACCTTTTGCTTAGTTTTTTGTGTTTCCATGCTCCCCAATCAGTGCTTTCTGGCTGTTCAGGTTTTTATGGAACATGTATATTTTTACCCTTTTTGATATTTACTTTGCTTCCTAGGGTATTACATATGACCATGTAGAATTAAATGTATATTTGAATGGAAAAAACATGCATTGTCCAGCATCAGGTATACGAGGGACAGTGTATCCAGTTGTTTATGGTAAGCTAAAATATTGCTAAACATTATTAGATATATGTTAACTTTTGCTTAGCATTTTCATTAACTTTATAACTGTCATTCGGAAGGCTGGACAAGTTAATAAGGACCTCTGTAGTGTACTCAGTAGGTTATCACAATCCCACTTGACAGGACGAAGGAAAGTTTTTATTCCCCATATATTTAAAAAGTAAATTTGCTAAATACAATGATTATACTTAAATATGCAATAACCATATTCCCTTTTATATCATATAGTCTTATATTCTAGAAAGTTCCAAAAAGCTTTATGGAATTTACAAAAAGATATTTCTGCCATTTGTTAGAGAGAGTTAGATGGCCAGGAAATGTAATTGTAAAGAATATTTTGGAAATAGGGATGGGAATTTCATGTAGATTGAGCATTGGTTACCTTTATAAAATTACCTAAATGTAGTAGATTGAGCATTGGTTACCTTTATAAAATTACCTAAATGTTAAAACTCTTCTGAGAGAAATATTGACTTAGAATGGTTTCATATTGATTGTTTTGCTTTTGATAGCCATGTATGTGTAAGTACTATAGTTTCTGTACAAGTGTATCCCTCCAAGAATTGGGTTACTTAGAGATGACTCTGTACCAGTTAGTTACTTTAATTTTATTACAGAAAATTTCAAACATGTATAGAAGAGAATAGAATAATGAACTTTCATGTACCCATCACTCAGCTTCAAACAATTATCAACTAGTAGCCAGTCACGTTTCATCCCCTCCCTGCAGTCCTCCTGTTCTTCATCTCCCCCTCCTTGTAGTACTTTGAGGCAAATGCCAGACATTATACCATTTTATTTTTAACTATTTTATTTGTATCTCTAAAATATAAGGTGTCTCTCTTTATAAAAAATATACATAAGCACTGTGCCTTTATCACTCTATTCTTCATTTTTTATGTTATCAACTTTAAATCAACAGGTATATGATTTTTCTGCCTGTGGTTTTAGTTGCTCTAAAAACATTTTCTCATTTAATTACTTTAATCAGTTAATCTAAGGATTTGAGCCATAATAAAAACTAATTGTTAACTTTTTTGTAGTAACTTACTGGAAAAGTAGCAGTGTTTGTTCGGAATGGCAGAAAAATATACAGTAACAAATAAAACTATTTAATAATTTGATAATAACAGTCATAACTTGTGCTTTATTTTAAGGTTTTCATTTATCTTCTTTTTTCCTAAATTATTACTTTTCAGTGATTTTTGCCTTCTATATCTTTGCATGTCTTTGCATGTAAAGGTGTATTTTTAAGCTTGATATAGGTTAGTGTATCTGCAATATTGGGTAAGCCTAAAAGAAATGTATTTACTTAAATACATGGGAATGTAGCTTAATATTCAAAATAGTTTAGTCTGAGAAATGAAATAAATATCAGTAGAATGACTGAGTTATAAATGAATATAGCAAATGAGATTTTTATTCTAAACTGTTTCTTTGATTTGGCATTATTTTTAATGTAATAAAGTTAAAGGTAATAAATTATATATAGTAATGTATTTTATGAATTGAAATTGATAAATCAGTCCAATTAAGTCAAATATTTTAGCCAGATACTATCAAAGATAAAAATAAAATTCAAATTCCCTTACCCTTTGTCTTCTATCCCATCCCTAATCCTAGATCCATCCAGTCATTCATTTTGTCAGTTCTTGCATTCAACCTATGGAGAGACAACACTGCATAACACTAAAGAAAAGTGTTGTTACATCTCTGCACATTCCAGACTTTCATTGTAGTTCTTGAATTCCCTATTCATTCTCCATAGATTGACCTTCCCTTCCAGTTTATAGAGAAACAGACCATCAGTGGTAAACTCCAGCTTTCCTCCCCATCCTCCTGAAGCTTTTCTGGATCTACTCCAGTCTTGCCTTCTTCCCATCCCATCTTAGAGGAAGTGGTGCCCTTCATGTTCAGAAAACTCAGTCTCTGGTCTAGATTTCAAACTCCCCGACTCTGGGACTTTACTGTCATTATTTCATCTCTGTCTTATGTCATCAACCTCTCTCTTCAATGTCTGTTGAACATTCTGAATCATTCTCATTCCAAAATACCCTTCCTTAAACTCGTACCCTCACCAGTCCTCTGTTTACCCTTCTCTATATGGCTGCATTTCTTATAGAATAGCTTCCGTCACTGTTTATATTGTATCGTTCACCTGTTCTTCAACCGGTGTGGGTGCCTTTACCACCACTTCACTGAAGCCACCCTTGTTAAAATCACTAGTGACTTCATGAATGTCAAATCCAGTACTTAACTTTTTTTCTGCATTTATTATTAAGTATAAAATACTAATGTGTATTAAACATATATGTGCAGTTTAACAAGTAGCTATAAAGTGAACACCCATATCATCACTATAGTCAAGATAATGAACATATTCATCACCCCTAAGTTTCCTCCTGCCCCCTTTTAATGCTTTCTACTCACCTCTCCCCACCTACCCCATGCAGCCACTATCTGCTTTCTGTCACTACAGATTATCTTGCATTTTTAGAGTATTATATAAATAGAATCATACAATTTGTATTCTTTTTTTGTCTGGCTTCTTTTACTCAGCATAATTATTTTAAGATTTATCCATGTTGTAGCATGTATCAACAATTCATTGATTTTTATTACCAAGTAGTATTGTTCATTGTGTGGATATATCACAGTTGTTTTTTCCCTTCACCTGTTAATGGATATTTAGCTGTTTCCAGTTTTTGGCCATTACAAATACAGGTGCTGTGAACATTCATGTACAAGGCTTTATGTGGATATATGCATTCATTTCTCTTGAGTAAACGCTGGTAAAAATATGTAGAAGCTAAATAAGGCCTGTAGTCTAATGAACAGTGTTAGTATCAGTGTTAGTTTTCTGGTTTGGATATTGTACTGTAGTTGTGTAAGATGTTACCACTAGGGGAAGCTGAGTGAAGGGTACACAGGACTTTCTGTATTATTTTTGCTACTCTTTGTGAATCTATAATTTTTTTAATAAAATTTTTTTAAGAAGTAATTTATCTTAATGTGTAAAATTGAGAAGATACGGGTAGGTAAGTAAGGAAAAACTCAAATTACCGATATTTACATCATCTAGAAATAATTATTAGTAATATTTTGATGTATTTCCTTTCAGTGTTCTTGATAGATTTTATTCTTCATTGTGGTTATTTTTACCCAATAGGATCATGTTTTGTAACCTGGATAGCAGATGCGTTTATTCTTCCTGCCTATTAATATTATGGCATTATGAAAACAGTTTATAATTTATGTATTCATTCAAATTAAGGTGTTTGCTTCTAATTTATTTTCTTTTTTTTCTATCTCTAGTTGATGACAGTGCAATTTTGGATTGCCAGTTCAGTGAATTTTATCATACTCCTCCACCTGGTTTTGAAAAGATATTATTTGAACAGCAGATCTTCTGAATGTATTTGTTTTTGAAACTTGTATTTCTGCACTGTTAAAAGTGTTTACCATTTAATAAAGCTTTACCTGACCTACAGATGACAATATATCCTTAAAAATATGCTCGTTAATGTTGTCTAAGGAACCAACGTATACAATATACCATCCTGAAGTTGTGATTTAAAATACTTAGGTTTTGTGATAATGAAATCAGCATTTGGGGCAGTTTATTTAATTCTTATTTAAATAAATATGACTGTGGGTTTGATTAACAGTATTAAATGGAAATACGTATATAGATATTTAAAAGGGAATCTTAACATAAAATATTTGTTTTGATAGAGATACAGAGTTGGGTGGAGGTTTTTGTCATTCTGAAGTGTAGACCTCATTAACTATTTTAAGTCTGCAGTCCAATAATTTTGTGTCTCAGTGTCTTTTTTATATAGAGTATAACAAAGTGACAAGTTTATGTTATTGGCAACTTCATTTTTGGCGATTTATTTACTATAAAATGTACCACTTTTCTTAAAATTTAAATTGCTTATTTTGTTTGTATGTCATTGCTTTTGATTTTCTTTGTGAAAGGAGATTAGTGTAGTAGCTGTCAGAGTATTTTGTTGAAGACCATCATGCTGTGTTACTTCAATACCTGAGTAAGTATTGGTTGATTGGTGATGTAGCGTACACAGCAGACATTTAGAATAGTATCATGCTTTCAACTTAAGTGGAAATGAGATTATTCTTTTAAGGACTTTTATTTAAATGTGCATTTTTCTGTAAGGAATAATAAAATATTAGTAATTAAGGACTATTCAGTAGTATATTAAATACATGTTCTTCCTGTTTTGTTAATTATACAGTAATTCACTTCACCCTTGATTATTTCAGAAGTTTGGAGATAAGTGAATTCTCTCCACGACCCTGAGCCTTTGCCTAGTTTTCAGGAAGAATCCCTGACCTTTAGATAACACCCTACTAAGCTGAACAAATCACTTTCTATATCTGGTACAGTCTCCTTTCCAGATGGGCATGCAAAGGATGCATGCGTTTCACTCCTTTACCAACGCGGAGCAGTATGTTGTACTAGAAAAACAGGGCTTTAGAATTGAAGGAGATCTGAATTGTAGTTTTGCCACCTGATCCCATTATCTCTTCAGGCAAGTTCCTCAGTCTTTCTGAGCTCAGGTTCCCCATTTATAAAAGGGATAATCATACCCTTGATGAGATTCTGTAACTAGTTAAATAATATTACATACGTAAAACACCTTTGTCATCGTAGGCAATTAATGAACGTAGCTTCTTTGTTGACTCTGCTCAGTGGTTTTCATAGTGTGGCCTTCAGACCGTCAGCCTCGGCCTCACTTGAGAACTTGTTAGAAATGGACACTCAGGCCCCACCCCCGACCCACTGAATCAGAAACTGCTGGGGATAGCACCCAGGAATCTGTGTTTGAACAAGCCCTTCAGGTGATTCTGATCCATGCGAAAGATTGAGAACCACTGCTCAGGAGAGAATTCTTTGAGAATGATTGCCTACTCTAAATTTTCTAAGGATTTAAGACTTATTTTTGCCCCATAGACGAAAGAATCCTGCACAATATTTATTTATTGTTCCATTTGATAGACACAAACGTGACAATGTTTTGAAAACATAGATATACCTGAGTAACATCTACTTACATAAATCCCAAATTTACCTCTGTAGATATATAGAATTGAACTAACTTTATATTGTTTATGCATTTTTATCTGACTTCCTGGCCTAGTAGTTTTAATTCATAAAAAAATATGCTTATTTTGGAAAGAGAATTAATATGACTACTGTTTGCTCTCTTTATAATGTTATCTACCTCCTATTTATTTTTTTAAAAGCCAAACTTTTTTTTTAATCATCATATTCTTTTCTCAAGACTATGTTTGCTACCTCTAATCATACAGAATAGGTACAATACTAAAAATGGTACATGAGTTATGTCCATGGCAACAGTTTGATGAAGTCTAGATGTGTTTTTAATTTCTAGGTATCTAATTTTTCTTAGGAAAATTACCTATAACCTCAATCTAATCTTGAGGAAAATCATCACACAAATTCCAGTAGGGGGGCCTCCTACAAAATACTTGAGCAGTACTCCGAACTGTCAAGGTCATCAAAAACAAGGAAAGTCAGAGACACTGTCACATCCCGGGGAGCCTAAGGGAACACGACAAGTCAATGTAATGTGTGAACCAGGAACAGAAAAAGGACATTAGGTAAAAACTAAGGAAATCTGAATAAACCATGGACTTTAGTTAATAATAATGTATCAATATGTTTATTATAGCAGATGAACCATAATAATGTAAGATGTTAATAACAGGAGAAACTGGGAGAGGGGATATATAGGAACTCTGTACTATTGTCTCAATTTTTCTGTAAATCTAAACCATTCTAAAAAACTAAAGTCTATTTAAGAAACTATGTTGAGCTAGGAGAAATTTAAAAATAAAGCCTTTCTTGAAGCCAGTAGACCATTAGTATGATATATACCTATAGCCTAAGTATTCAATGATAGCTAATAAATATAGACATGGATGGGACATAAAACATTCTTGTATTTTAACACACAAGAACCTGCTTTTGTTCCTGGCTGAAGAGACTGTCCACTGTCTTGATTCTGTTTATTGCAAAAATCCATTTGTTCACACTGGTGTAGCTTCTTTCTTTTTGCGGTACGCAGGCCTCTCACTGTTGTGGCCTCTCCCGTTGCGGAGCATAGGCTCCGGACGCGCAGGCTCAGCGGCCATAGCTCACGGGCCCAGCCGCTCCGCGACATGTGGGACCTTCCCGGACCGGGGCACGAACCCGTGTCCCCTGCATTGGCAGGCAGACTCTCAACCACTGCGCCACCAGGGAAGCCCACTGGTGTAGCTTTTTATACTCACATTGAAAATTAATCACTGATTTATTATCCATATTATTATTTCAGTGATTTAAACATTGCAAGGGACTTGCAATGTTAGATATGTGAAACAATGAAAATCTCATAAATAATAAGTTTACATTATTAAAAACCAGAAAAAGAGAATTTGGCTTTTAACTGCTTCTGGCTCATCAGTTAAGATTATTTGAATATATTTTCAACTTGGATTGCAAAGTATTATAATTTAAGAATGGTACAAAATATAATTTAAGGCTTTTAAAAATCATTAACAAAAACAGACACATGTATGACAGTGTTGCTCACATCTCTTTTTTTTTACTGTATGTTTACTTTTTCTTTTTTAACCAAACAGTTGTTTGTTTTTTTTTAATACTTTTTTGGTTGGACCACACACCATGTCGGATGTTAGTTCCCCGACCAGGGATGGAACCCATGCCCCTTGCATTGGAAGCGAGGAATCTTAACCACTGTACTGCCAGGGAAGTCCCTGTATGTTTACTTCTTAATGTAAGTCTAGATATGGACCAGCAAAAGCATAGCTGGAAATGGAAGTGAAATCTTAAGAGTAATCTTGATAAATTACATTAAATCAATAATTTCTTTTACATAATGTAAAAACACTAGATATTGTGAGTGGAAAATTTATAATCAAAACTGTGGAGTTTCCCTGTACATAGTACTCATAAATGGAATATAATCAACTACCACTTACATTAATTTGCATTGTTTATGCAACCTGGCAGGGAAATACTTTTGGGAGCTAACTGGACTGAACGTGAATGAGTGGAAACAATAGAATCAATTAAACTCGTGCAATAGGATATGAGACTCCCTTTCAACTTGCTCTTTTAAAAAAACTGAGACCAAATTATTGAAATAATGAGTATAAACACAACGTTAGATATAATTAGCAATATAAATGAATCACACACCACCCAAGACTTCTATAGAAATTTAAAGGAAAAATTGTCCCAGTATTGGCTGAAATGTGTAATCTGTAGTTCTGTAGGAATCATTACAATGTAGTCATTCAAAAATTGAATCACTTATGTGCTGTGTTTCATAAATACTTAAACACAATAGTCCCTGGCCTCAAGGAACTCTGTTAATAGTAATTCATTCATAAGTATGGCTCTACAATACCCAAGATATATTGATAAATGAAAAAAAAGTTGTGAAAATTTGTGTGTATAATCTGATTCATGGTCCAGTGGGTAGGACCCAGTGCTTTCACTGCCGGGGCTGGGGTTCAATCCCTGGTCCCGCAAGCATAGAACAACCGATAAAAAACAAAACCCAGAAAACTAGAGCCTTATATATAGGAAAAATACGATGTAATATATACATCAAAAATACCATATCTTGGGAATAAGATTACAGGGATCTAGCTCTTTCATTGCAAATTTATCTGATAATTTTTTTACAATAAACCTACTATTTTGGGGAAAAGAATTTTAAACAAGAGGAAAGCACGTGACTCTGGAGGAAGCCCTGTACACTAGAGAATGGGGGAATTTTACATTCACACTTAGAAATCTAAAAGGCTGCAGTAGAATCACAACATGATTACTTAAGTACAGGATAAAAAGTGTTTCATGGCAATTCATCTTAAAGGATTCAGAAATTTTAGTCTATGCCATGCCTGGTACCACTACAAACTGGGTCCCCAGACCCAGGCAAGTAAGTGCTAATGAAGCCACATGTGGAGTAGACCAGTTCCAGCAGACACTGCACTTGAAATCAAGGGCAGTGATAAACCAGCAAAGGCTACCAGGCTGCTGAGAAGCTGCTTAATTAATCCATGCATGAATGAATGAATGGTCCCTGACACTGGGAATGTTGGAAGAATGTATTCAACCTGCTGGGCTATTGAAGCTGGTATGACTTGTGAAATGCTAATCATTTGAAGAAGTTAACTAGAAATAAAGCCAAAAAAAAGATATCTGTAGATTCATGTGTGTGATTCTCACAAATGTATTTCAGGAAAGAGAGTCATAGATGTGTTTTCAGATATCTGATGGTTCATCACCTGAAAAAAAATGGGTAGACTTATTCTCTATTGCCCCGGAGGAAGAATTATTAGAAGGTACAGGGAAGCAGATTTTAGTTTAAGATGGAAAAGAACTTTCCTACTTAGTTCACTACTGAAATTGCTGCCTTGCAAAGAAATGAACTTCTGGTCCCTGGAATTGTTTTAACAGTTGTTTTTAAAATGTAGGTTTTGTTCTTATTCAGGTATGGTGAGCAGGAAGCTACTGCCGTTGAAAAAGATAGTGTTACAGTTCCCAAGAGGAGAGGGCACACCTTGCCACACAGGGACTCACAGGTAAGCATCAGGGTTGGTCAGGAGGCAGAAGGAGCAAGGGGAAGGCATGGGCGTGAGCCCTTATTGTGGTTCCATGTGCAAGGCAGGGTAAGCATACTCAGGATTGGCTAGTTTGAATAGTTTCAGCAGGCTCTGGGGTACAGGGGCTGTCCCAAATTGTCTGGTACCTGGCTCTGGGGTGAGTAGGACAGGGAAATATTGATTGACATGGAAAGTAAGAGCCAGGTAAGGAAGGTGGGGGGCTCTGGATTGTTTGGTTTGCAAATGAAAGTCAGGCTCCTTGGGGCGAGTGGTTTGCCTTTAGGAATTAGCTAACCGTGGTGAAGCAGTCCCTCCTCTGACAATAAGGCCTCAGTAAAGCATCAAGAATACAGAAAATAGGGCTTCCCTAGTGGTGCAGTGGTTGAGAGTCTGCCTGCCGATGCAGGGGACACAGGTTCGTGTCCGGTCCGGGAAGATCCCACATGCCACGGAGCGGCTAGGCCCGTGAGCCATGGCTGCTGAGCCTGCGCGTCCGGAGGCTGTGCTCTGCAACGGGAGAGGCCACAGCAGTGAGAGGCCCACGTACTGCAAAAAAAAAAAATACAGAAAATAAGAAAATATAATCAATACACAGTCTAGATGACTATCCCAGAGATCTCATAAATATGGTTCCCACTGGGTTAGAGACCAAACTAGATGTTTTCTAAAACTCTGTGATTCCGATTCCTTCAGACAATTGCCGAGTCTCCAAATAAGTTAACTTGAAAACAAGGAAATAGGAGATGCAGGATCTCCAGGGATTTATACAAGGATTTGTCACATTAAAATTTGTGTTAACAGGGCTTCCCTGGTGGCGCAGTGGTTGGGAGTCCGCCTGCTGATGCAGGGGACGTGGGTTCGTGCCCCGGTCCGGGAAGATCGCGCATGCCGCGGAGCGGCTGGGCCCGTGAGCCATGGCGGCTGGGCCTGCGCGTACGGAGCCTGTGCTCCGCAGCGGGAGAGGCCACGTTAGTGAGAGGCCCACGTACCGCAAAAAAAAAAAAAAAAAAAAAAAAAAAAAAATTGTGTTAACAATGGAACTATCGGATAGAAAGCCCAGAGAGGGCTTCCCTGGTGGCGCAGTGGTTAAGAATCCTCCTACCAATGCAGGAGACACGGTTTCAAGCCCTGGTCCAGGAAGATCCCACGTGCTGTGGAGCAACTAAGCCCACGCACCACAACTACTGAACCTGCGCTCTAGGGCCCAAGAGCCACAGCTACTGAAGCCCGTGCTCCTAGAGCCCGTGCTCTGCAGCAAGAGAAGCCACTGCAATGAGAAGCCCGCGCACCACAATGAAGAGTAGCCCCTGCTTGCCACAACTAGAGAAAGCCCGCACAGCAACAAAGACCCAACACAGCCAAAAATAAAATAAATTTTTTTTAAAAAAAAGAAAGCCCAGAGATAAACCCACTCACATATGGTCACCTTATCTTTGATGGAGGCAAGAGTATACGATGGAGAAAAGACAGCCTCTTCAATAAGTGGTGCTGGGAAAACTGGACAGCTACATGTAAAGGAATGAAATTAGAACACTCCCTAACACCATACACATAAACTCAAAATGGATTAAAGACCTAAATGTAAGGCCAGACATTATAAAACTCTTAGAGGAAAACATAGGAAGAAGAACAGTCTATGACATAAATCACAGCAAGATCTTTTTTGATCCACCTCCTGGAGAAATGGAAATAAAAACAAAAATAAACAAATGAGACCTAATGAAACTTAAAAGCTTTTGCACAGCAAAGGAAACCATAAGATGAAAAGACAGCCCTCAGAATGGGAGAAAATATTTGCAAACGAAGCAACTGACAAAGGATTAATCTCCAAAATGTACAAGCAGCTCATGCAGCTCAGTATAAAAAAAAAAGCCCAATCCAAAAATGGGCAGAAGACCTAAATAGACATTTCTCCAAAGAAGATATACAGACTGCCAACAAACGCATGAAAGGATGCTCAACATCACTAATCATTAGAGAAATGCAAATCAAAACTACAATGAGGTATCACCTCACACCAGTCAGAATGGCCATCATCAACAAATCTAAAAACAATAAATGCTGGAGGGGGTGTGGAGAAAAGGGAACCCTCTTGCACTGTTGGTGGGAATGTAAATTGATAGAGCCACTATGGAGAACAGTATGGAGCGTCCTTAAAAAACTACAAATAGAACTACCATACGACCCAGCAATCCCACTACTGGGCATGTTCCCTGAGAAAACCATAATTCAAAAAGAGTCAAGTACCACAGTGTTCATTGCAGCACTATTTACAATAGCCAGGACATGGAAGCAACCTAGGTGTCCATCGACAGATGAATGGATAAAGAAAATGTGGCACATATATACAATGGAATATTACCCAGCCATAAAAAGAAATTGAGTTATTTGTAGTGAGGTGGATGGACCTAGAGTCTGTCATACAGAGTGAAGTAACTCAGAAAGAGAAAAACAAATACCATATGCTAACACATATATATGGAATCTAAGAAAAAGAAAAAAAAAAGGTCATGAAGAACCTAAGGGCAAGTAGGGAATAAAGACACAGACCTACTAGAGAATGGACTTGAGGATATGGGGAGGGGGAAGGGTAAGCTGTGACAAAGTGAGAGAGTGGCATGGACATATATACACTACCAAATGTAAAATAGATAGCTAGTGGGAAGCAGCTGCCTAGCACAGGGAGATCAGCTCGGTGCATTGTGACCACCTAGAGGGGTGGGATAGGGAGGGTGGGAGGGAGACTCAAGAGGGAAGAGATATGGGGATATATGTATACATATAACTGATTCACTTTGTTATACAGCAGAAACTAATACAACATTGTAAAGCAACTCTACTCCAATAAAGATGTTAAAAAAATAAAAAAGTACAGCAAAGAACTAAGGAAAAATAAATAAAATATAAAATGATATATTGAAAAAAAATTTTTGTGTTAATTCTGAAAAGGGGAGATGATACTATAGTTTATTGAGGAATGTAGTGCTAGTTCAACACGGTAAATAAGAGGTTTCACACAGTTTTGTGAGTAGACAGAAGTGACTTACCAGTGATGAACAAGAAACTGTGAGATTGTATATTTGGGGATAAATTGTATGATGGTCTCCTAGGTCTTATATAAGGTCACACAGAGATCTCTGAAGTGCCAGTCCAGTGTGTGGTCACAATCAAAAGCATATGTAAAATGCTATTATCAGAAAGGGTTTTGAAAATTAAGCAGAGAATCTTATCAACCATGATGAGAAACAAGACACAAAACTTGTCCTTCCTGACCTATGTTTGGTTCACTTATTGCGTTTCTGGTGAAAAGGTGAGTTGAAGAAGCTCAAGGAAGAAGAGCACGAGTGACCCAGAGAAGGCACACGAGACACAACAGCCTTTCGGTCTGGAAGTCAAGGCTGAGGAGGAACGTTACCCCAATCTATAAAATCGTGGTGAGTGTGGATGGGTGCGGTGAACTTGGACTTGCTGTCAAATTCCAAAACACTAAAAATTAAGGCAGCAACCCTTGAAACTTAAGGAAAAGAATATTTAGAGGCAAAAAGCTCCATATTATCTTCATGCTGTGTAAGAAACAGGATTGCGAGGTGGTATAGGGAGACGTTTTGAAACTGAATTGTTAAACGAGAAGGCATGTTGGAGACCATTTGTCCAAATCCTCACTCCCCCCATGGGGAAAGCGACCCAAGAGAGGTTAGGTGTCTTTGGCAAGGAGATACAGTAAAATCCAGGTAATTGAATATTCATTAAATAAATATAAGCACTTACTCCTTCAGGCACTGTATAAAGTTTATTCTACACTGCCATGTGATTAGACAAATCCGTTAACAATTTCTAAAGGAAAGGTTTCTAAAGGGTTTTTGATAGAAGCTAGGAATTTAGGAGTATATCTGCTTTAACGCTGAGAACATGAAAGATAGTTTAGCAGTCCTACAAAACACATACTAATACAACTGTCCAAGACTGAACAAAGGCCAGGATAGACCATTAGAGAGATTCACATTTGATTACCCTTATTCAGTGGCTGGTTCTTATAAAGGTGCCAAAAATGATGAAATAAATATCTGCCTTTCGGGATTGTCTGTGTGACAGCTCTCCATTAGCATAAATAAACAGCAGTTAATGATTCACTGACTGTCATTCCTGGGTCATGTGCAGACATGGAGGTGTGGCCTCAAAGACAATTAATGAGAAAACATGTTTTTTGGCCTTATGTTACATTGTTGTAGTTAGATTGGACTATGTACACTGAGGCTTAGAAATTTACAATACTTTAAACTAAAGAAGGGGCTTCTCTGGCAGTCCAGTGGTTAGGACTCCATGCTTCCACTGCAGGGGGCCTGGTTGGGGAAACAGGACCCCGTGTGCCGTGTGTGGTTAATTAAAAAAAAAAAAACAACTAATGAATTTTATTACAACGTGTCTTCTGTTGGCATTCCTGAATTTTTTCCTAGACCTTGTTCCTCCCATTAAACTCATTTTTAGAAAAGGCTCGGTATTTGCTGGACTTTACAGATTCAGACTTTATGAAGATTCAAACAATGAAGCCCATCTTTTTAAAACAATGTTTGGGGAATTCCTTGGTGGTCCAGTGGTTAGAATCCGGTGCTTTCACTGCCGGGGCCCGGATTCAATCCCTGGTTGCAGAACGAAGATCCCGCAAGCAGCGTGACGTGGCCAAAAAAAAAAAAAATTTTTTTTGAAGGATACTTTAAAGCAAATATAATAATAGAAGTTAAATTACAGGGAAAATGTTTAAACTCATCACAAGAACAATGTTCCCACATTTTAGAAGCATACATATATCTTCCTGTAAGCAATTGTCACACTAGTTATAAAACAGTTCCTGCCTATTTGTTAAGGATTTTGGAAAATAAGATTGGCATACTTACTGGCATAACTTATATATTATCCATAACTCTTCTCAGAAATGGTGGTAGAACCCAAATAAGCTCTTGAAATCTCAACATGATACAGTAAATTTTGTTTTTGATTCTTTTGGGAAGACTGAACTTATTCATTCAACAAATATTTTTCAGCATCTACTATGTGCCAAGCACAAGGCTGGGCTAGATGGAAAGATGAGTAAGGCAGTCTTCACCTAGAAGGAAGCACATGACCATGCTTATGGCTCCATAACATGTATGCTCCACCAGCAGGAACAGAAGGAAATTGACATAGACTTGTTTTTTCTAGCATTACAGTGAAAATATGTCACGGTAACAAGTAAACTAGAATCATTCTATACTTCCTTCAGTCAGATGCTCAGTTGGTGGGGTTTCTACTTGAATAACCCAAACCTTCATTCCCAGAAGAACCCAGTAGTCAATTATCTTGTTTTTCTGTTTGTTTGTTTCTATGGTTTCCATTAACCCTTAACGTTGGTCATGGAAATCCTAAAGACACCCCAGAAAATCCCCCGTGTTCCAGATGTAGTCCTCCTTGTCCCCATTGTGTAGCAGCAACTCACTTTCCCTTCGGTAATTAAGGTCAATCACTTTAGTCATTAGAGTAACCCTTTTTCTGCCTGTTGGTTCAATGGCATGAGGAGCCCAAAACGGCCAGGTGGAAGCCTCACCATCAAGTCTAATAGAACCACTGTTATTTCCACTGGTGGAAAGATTTTCTTTGGGGACGAAGACCTCCCAGCCAGCAGAGCTCTCATCAGGATGAGAAGCGAAAATTACCTGTGAGTGAGTTATTGGGTATAACAGTAAGAAGAGCCACTCCTACTTTCACCCCTTGATTCTGGACCATGTGTTCCGGTTATGTTCTGGAGACAGCAGGGTTCTTCCCCAAGGGGCACCTGCCTCCTCTTTAATCAAGGAGCTTTGGGTCTGTGAATTGACTTACATTTGGAAACTGGATAAGATGCCCTGACTGTCCACGGTGGTGACTCAAGTCAGGTGTTTGGCTACCAGACCTGAAGTTTTCCCCTCTCATATAGATCAAGCAATACTCTAATAGACTGTCTACCTATTTTATTCCTAGGAATAGCATGATAAATTAACCACCATCAAAGATCTCTGCAGGCCAAGGCATTCTGATTACCCCTCACAGTAGATGCATCCAATTTGTCTTTGGTGATTAAGTGCTGCCACTACCTCTGCCACTCTGAGATCCATTATCCCCATTAGAATTGGAAAGACCGTATCAGTGGTAGTACCTTTTACCTGTCTTACCAAGGAAAGCAACTACAGAGCTCTCCTTTGAGAGAGCTTGCAGGGGCTCCACTCATGAATGCAATTCTCAATGCTTTAGTGAAGGAGATGTGCTCTGGGCCTTGTCATGGAGCATAGCTTGGGGGTCAGGAATGAACAATGATGTGATGAGAACAGTAAAGAAATATTTTTTACCATCTTCTGGGCTCTGTTCACAATTGAATACTTTTTTCCTAATAATACGGGCTTTTTAGATTTTGCAGATCTTTTAGAGCATGGCAGAAGATTACAGAAAGATATTAGGGTATTTCTTGAATCAAAGCCTCAGGAGGGCCAGAAACCAGGGAAGTTTCTGGATTCCTGAGCTGCATTCATGTGTGTCTCTTCTTTTTAAAATTTTGCCATCATTATGACAAAATTCCCATCCTCAGTCTTGGATCTCTCCATTCACATTCTAGAAAAAGAAGCTGAGAGAATTCCCTGGCGGTCCAGTGGTTGGGACTCTGCGCTTCCACTGCAGGGGGCATGGGTTCGCTCCCTGGTGGGGGAACGAGGATCCCACAAGCTGCGTGGCGCAGCCAAAAAAAAAAGTTAAAAAAGAAGCTGATTTCTCTTTCTCCTATTTTATCAATTTTCCTGGAGCCTCTACTGACCAAAGCCAAATTCAGTTTCAGATTCAAAGGCATGCTTTTAACTGGCCAGTTAGCAAGTATTTTAAAGAGCAAATACCTTTCACATCAGTTTCCACAAATGCATCCAACATCACGCTTTAAACTGGGAACAGTGCTTGGGGAATTACACAGTGGTATGTATAAACCTGAACAGGCTATACTCACAAGGAAAAATATGTGATTTATCTAAGCATAGTAAATACTTCAGCGTTTAGATTTCAGAGTAGGAATGTCTCATGTAAACAGTAGCAGTGACTTTCCCTATAGCAGAATTTCTAAGCATGAGAATACATCAAATTTTTGTAAAGAACATTTGCTCAGTAATATCTTTGCCCTTTTATTTGTAGGGTAGAAGAAGGAAGAAATTTGAAAAACATACTTATACTACCTTCTCTTTTCTCATATCCTTTTCCTTACCATAAAATAAAATTACCGTGCACTGAATTTCAAGACCAATGCCATATCACTAAAGCTGTCAAGTTTTGCAAATTTACACCATGACAATTCAGTGCTCCTTGACTGGCAGACTTCTCTCTGGGTGTGGGTATCCCTGAAGCCTCCCAGATCCCTGTGTCATACTGCTTCTGAACCACACAGTAGCCAGGCCTTTAAAGGAGAAACGTAAAACTCATACAGTCAGATGAAACAGATTTGTGCTCTGTTAACTCTGTCTTCACTTTTGCCTACAGAATGTAGGGTTCTTGAGGTGCCTGACATACATTGTTTTTAAACCAGCTCCATCATTTCAAAAGCAAATGGCAGGAATATTTGCTGAGAAGAACATACCTGAAACATTACATTCTGATCCATGGGCAGTGAAGATTCCATTTTCCTGTTCTTTTCCACCTGGGTTTTGGTTCTTATCCCTGCTGTACCTTCTGATTAATACTTATTTTCTCAAGGTTGTGGTTTCGTGGTTTTTGGCTGCCACTTCCTGCCAAAGCTACTTGGTACCTCTATATATCTAAGAGGGTCCCATCAACTTATGCCCTTCCTTTTTTCCTTTTCTCATCTACTGTGTTGATTGCACTTGAACTCAATGAACTTTCAGTCCCTGGATTCCTTTATTTTAATCAATGGAGCTTTCTAACTTAATTGGCACACTAAGCAAGCCAGACCTGCAAGCCAGACCTGCATGTTTGATTAACCATACTGCTAGTCGTCGTTAGCCTGGAAAAAGTGTTCCAACTTCCAGACCTTTGGGAAAATCAAAGTGAGTTAGAAGGACCACTTTGTAGAAACATGAGCCAATCTGGACAAGCCCAACTATTTTGGGAATTAGATAGCCTCAGGTATACAGTTATGGATTAGGATTAATCATAATCCTATTTATGACATACTTTCCTCAGTGGTCCTTAGGTGGCCTCTTCCAGTAGATATGATTATATTGGTATAGATATAAATATCAATGTAAATATAGATAAGCACTCATGAACTCACCATCTAAAACAAAAATTAAGACCTTGACAAATTATGTCACTTAGAACAACAGAAATTTATCCGTTTCTAGTTCTGGATGGTAGAAATACAAAAATATGTCCAATCTCTGTCTCTGTCTTCACATGGCCTTCTCTGTGTGTTTCTGTCTCTTCTCTTATAAAGACATCAGTCATTTTGGATTTAAGGTCCACCCTACTCACGTATGATGTCATCTTAGTGAATTACATCTGCAAAGTCCAAATAAGGTTTCAGGAGTCAGAACTTCAACATACTTTTTGGGGGACGCAATTCAACCTATAACAGTATATAAGTGTCCAAATTTAGAAGAAAATGCCAAACCATTTCCCAAAGTAGTTAAAAAATGCACACTCCCACGAGCATTGAAAAAACTTGGTATTATCAGACTATTTAAATTTTTACCAACGTAATGAGTGTAAAATGGTATGTCATTGCAGTCTGGGTTTATACTTCCAAACTAATAATTATGGTAAACATTTATCCATATATTTATTGCCCTTGTATTTCTTCTTTTTTTTTTTTTTTTTTATTGTTTTTCTTTTTTTTTTTTTCCTTTTTTTTTTTTTTTTTTTTTTTTTTTTCCTGTTGGGCTACTTATGCTTTTTTTGTTTTCTTTTACTGATCTGTAGGAGTTCTTTGCATATTCATACCAATCCTTTGCCAGTTTTATGTATTTTGAATATCTTATATATATAACTTTTCACTTTCTCTAAGGTAACTTTGATGAACAAAAGTTCTTAATTTTATATAGTAATATTTATCAGTCTTTTATGGTCAATATTTTTTGTGTCTTCTTTACAATATCTTTCCCTATGCCAACAACTTAACTACAATGAATTTAAAATATATTTTGGGGGGTTGTCTGTTCAATCTACCAATAATCAAGAGAAGGTTGTTGAAATCTCCCATTACAGTGGTGAATTTACCCATTTCTGTCTGTCCTTCCATCATTTTTGTTTCATGAATTTGGCATCCCTTTGTTTATTACATACATAGATGCTATGCATCTTTTTGCTGTTGGCTTTAGATCCATTTTATCTAATACTACTGTAGATAAACCAACTTTATTTTGATTAGTATTTTCCTGATGTATCATTTTGCATTCATTTATGTACAGCCTTTGCATTTTCCTTATGCTTTAGGTTTGTCTCGTGTTAGCAGCACATACTTGGATTTTTTTTTATAAATTTATTTTTTATTTTATTTATTTTTGGCTGCGTTGCGTCTTCATTGCTGCGCGTGGGTTTTCTCTAGTTGCG